ACATGTTCTACAGGAACCTTTAAGCAAGGTCATATTGGACATTCTGTTCTGCAGCTTTAACATTTCACCCTGAGGCTTTGTTGGAACAAATACCGAGAACTCAAATAAAAAGCTGTCATGTTGCGAGGTACATGTACCAGGGAATAACTGAAGTGCAGAGAAAAAAACATGGCGGTTCCGAGTTCAATCAAGTCCACTCTGTCAAGAGACTCCAAAAAGAACAGATGTCTAAGAATGTGGTGTGTCTTAGGTTAAAGTTGTACCTTAAGTTACAAACATATCCTACATGTAGGTTACAGCGGGTTAGGTTTGCCTGCCTTATTTTCCTGGAACTCACAAGACAGTGTTGAAGTTAAGTCAAATGATGTGCCCCACATACTGTAGCTTGAGCACCAGGGAAGGGAAGGTACGTACATGTATGAAGGGTGGATGAAGGAATATGGGGTGAGGGGATAAAGGCAAACGGGGTGAGGGGAAGGGTGAGGGGAAGGGTGAGGGGAAGGGTGAGGGGAAGGGTTGGGGGAAAGGTGGCACAGTGCCAATAAGGCTGAACACTTCAATGTCCATTTGAGGGGTTGCAGGGTTATTACAAGTCACTAAATTTTGTGACTTGAGTGAAATTGAGTCATTTAAACGTAACAACTCAAGTTGGACTTGAGTCATCGACTTGAGTCATTGGGGAGCTGTACAACAGCCAGTTTTGTTTCTAAGCTGAACGACCAGAAGTACAGGTGTACACGCAGACCAGCATGTCCACTCTACATGAAGCTCAGCACTACACACTCTACCAGTGAGTACTAGTCTTGTCAAACCCAAACTCCTCACAAAGTTGAGTCACAAGTTGAACCAGGATTGTTGAATCTTACGAACCACTAGATTGAAAAATAAATAATCATGTTTATTCAGAGCTTACAAAGGCTCACACAGATGCCTTTGGCACTACTGATCACAGCAGAAATGATACATGTAAATTACATTGTAACACACATCTATACATGTAAGAAAACTTTAACTCAACAGTTTGACCAAACCTCTTTGCTTAAACTACATGTTCAAAAATCCCTTGGCTGTTAAGCACTAAAAATCCACCTACTGCTGGAAGGAGGAAAAGGAGCAAGCTAGAAGCGCACTGATTGGTTAAGAAGCGGGTGTCATTAGTATACTTTAAACCAATCAAAATTAAGGAAAAAAATCCAAATGAATAAAATGATGAAACTGAGTGGAGTGCAGAGTTTGTGTCGTTGGACAACGTACCAATTCCTTTGGGCTGGGTTCTTCCTCAGCCGGTGGGGCGGCTGCCTCACTCTGTCGAATATATCAAGGCAGAGACAGTTTTATGCTGAATTCTGGACTTACATGTAGGACCAAGCTTTGACTGGGATGGGGCTGAACGGACTGAACTGAGCAAAACTGACTCTCGCATAAAACAAGAGAATCGGGCCACTGAAAATGAATTTGAAACCCACTACAACACTGAATTTTCAAATTAGTAAAGAAATTTGTAAGATTGTGAGAAAAAGTACAGTAACGAAATGTTCCAATTAAAGACACGTTATGAAGATGTGAATTATGTTTACAATGCCAGGTGTCATCCTCAAAATTTTGGAAGAATTATAACACATGTACGAAAAGTATTTTTGATTTTCATTAAGCACCATTTAATTTCCAGAAATGCATGCATCCCACAGGAGAAGGCAAGGATCCCTACATGCAATCCAAGCATAAATACTCCATTACATGCAGAATACCACCAACTTGGGTCTGCCATCCATCCATGTCCAAGGTGTAAGGTCAGGTCACAACCTCTGTCCTCTATCACAACCTTTACTTACCTGACTCAGAACGTAAGTCAGCTGTTGTCACAAAATGGCACCTATACATGTATTAACCCTAACAGTCCTCAATCCTCCAACAGGTGAAGGATTGAGGAGTGTTAGGGTTAAGTATTCTGGATCCTCCAAAGTCTCCCAAGACTGTGGTTAAACTGACCACCACTTGTCTCAACTTACTTCCCCTAAGCATGTTTCATAGAAAATCTCATCCCATCTACTGAGCATTCAATGTCTACTAAATACTGCAGACTTACATTACTGAAAAAACATGAACAGATAGTCAACTTTCTTCTCTCAAAATGGTAAGTTTTCATCGACAGTGTCAGCAAATAACTATTTCATCAACGTCTACAAGCAACTCTCTTACAACTCTTGACACGTACAAGGTTAACCATTCAGATTTATCTAGCCTTTCTGCACAATGTTAACAAGGTTGTTTATCATACATACATATACATGTCACTGAAAACATGTCTCGGGACTTTTGGTTCGGGGCAAGGAAAAACGTGCCGTCTGATTTAGCACGTACATGTATCAGCAACCTTTGTTGGCAAAGCCATTGATTTTCTTCTCACATGAAAATCAACTTTTCAAATGGCAACGTGACCTGTTTGCCAGTACCAACATGAGGAAAAGTCATTAAGGGTAACTTCAACAGTAAAAACTTGCCACAAGTTTCCTATTCCTTAAAAGAAACACCTGCCATAATTTAACGTGCAAATTAAACCTGCATTTCACTTGTTCCTTTTCATATTTTGGCTTCACAATTGACACTTAATGTACAATACCTTTAATAAAAGCATTAAACCCTGGTTCAAACTTTCTAAACTTGACAGCAAACATAACTGTTCAGAGCAGCAGTGAACTGAAAAAAGTAGAAAATAAATTGAAATGAGGCAAATTGGCTTTGTTTACAGTGTCAAGAACTAATTTTGTAAAGCAAAGTATATCAGTCCTGCTTGATGGACAGAAAAGAATAACGACCTTACGTTGGCATTTAGATACAGTGACAATTCTGGACTGCTTTAGTCCATTCCTAATACTAATGTTCGGTTTCAATGTCTGTCAAGTACATGCCAACAAGATAACATCTGCCATCATTTCATCAGCAATCAATTGCAAAACATTTCACACATCTTGGTCAAATATAATGGATGTCATTTTATTTTCAAATTTAATCATTTTGAAGGTTTGACAGGATTTCAACTATGCAAAACTGAATTTCTTTCACCATGCAATAAATTCATGTACGGCCAGGAGACTTTCTCACAGGGGACCTTGACTGTAAGAATCACTTGCCAAAAAAAAACAAAAGGAAGAAAGAACTAGAATCAGCAATTTGCCTTGACTGGTGAATGGGATTGTTAACTCTTACCTTGAGTGCTACTGATTCAAACTCGATGGAATCGGTACTTCCTCTTCGCGATGAGCTTCCCCCGCTAGAATTGGGCACAACGGGGGGGATCACACTGCTGGATTTCTGGGGAATCAAAATTGGAATCAAACACACAAGACCATGAATGTGCTTGCAAGACATAGTAGTTTAAGCCAGCTTAAAAGTTTTACCTGAGCCTGAAGGGAGTTTGGCTTTTTATGTCATGCTGTGCATGGTGAGTGTTGTGAGAAATCATGCTTTTATTGTAGTGCTAAATGTACATGTACTGCATTTGTACAGCACAGGTATTGCCTTCTTAGGCCATGTCTGCTTAAAGTCATGGCTACAACTAGCAATCAGTGCACATACACCTATAGAAGCTACATATGGATAGAACTTCCCATAGATTTGTTCATTACTGTAAGCCATAGCCTGTTGGTTTGGACACTGCCAGGCTAGGGCAAGTGTGAACCAGCATACAGGTACCTCTTACATGTACCTCATAGCACAGGCACTTCAACCAGTGAGCCACTGAACATGTGTAGGTTTGATAGGACCACTGATACCAAAAGTCTCACCTTTAACAGCCATGAGTTCCACTCACTAGTTGGACAACTCCTTGCCTGTTTATCTGTGGTCTGGCAGTTTTGTTTAAAATCATCTCACTTAGATTTATCACAAGTCTATTTAAGGTGCTATCACAGTAAAACTGAATTAGGTTCATTAAATTCAATTTCCTATTGGCACTGTGCCAGTCAGGATATCCCTTATACCAAGTGTTTCCTAAACATACCCAGTGTCACAGTGAATATTATTTCTAAAAACGTATTTGTATTTTATAGTTGCCACACCTTTTTCCTGATTATCAGTCCTTGTGACAATTACATGTCTGTATGACTCTCTGTGAAATTGAATATTGTTGGCCAAATGACAGAGACAGGCAAAATATTATCTGACCATATACATGTACATGCAGTTACATGGCCACCTATTAAGTCAACAAAACTTGTGCATCAAAATGTCACAAACAGTTTCCAATTTTCTTGAGAAACCATTACGGCATTAAATACACACGACTGCGTTGGTTATAAATAAATTCCAGACTCAATAAAAATATCCATGGCTAATGATGGTAAGCTAACTACCACAAGTTGGACCTTAAATGTAAAACTCCTGGTAACTCACAGAATGAAACCCACCATGCGTCGCAAATGCTTTGGCACACATGTAACTAACCCATGGGCTAATTCTTTGTGAAAAGACACCCGGCTCCAACTGAAATACAAACCATGTTGCTGCCTCATGGCAACTTAATCAAAAGCAAAGATCGTATAGCACCGCGAAGCAGCGCAAAATGGCAAACGTCACCGTGAATATACGTAAAACGTTGTGATCGCATAGGCGCCATTTGAGCAAGCGATACGCCTGTGCAATGCATATTAATGAACAGGCGCAGTGGCAGGCATGTGCACCTAGTGAGCCTGCGCCCAAGCATTACTGTAAACTGCATAGGCGCGTTGCTTGCTCAAATGGCGCCCATGGTAATTACATCTTTTGGGCAGAGTTATCCATCTTGCGCCTTTGGCGCTATACGATCTTTGATAAAAAGACAGGTTTGGAAATCAATTCCTATTCCGATGCGTCTGGGACCACAGCCAACATCCATCAGAATCCCATGAAATCCAGTACTGGAATTTACAGGATCAGGATTGGTTTGGGTTATGGTACAAATTCTCTCATCTCACGAGTCCTTACAAAATTGAGGAGCGTAAAAGTACCAAAAATTGAGACTAAATTTCTCATTCATGCATGGGCACCCACTGGCACATATGCATACAACGTAGATGTCTGCAGGTGCAGAATAGATTCAGGCCCAGGTCACACTTTGCCGACTTGCATCTATTCACACTTAACCTGTTATCACCAATTGGTGTTCACAAGCAGGTCATGTAAATAGCTACACAATGTTTACTGGGTAGACTTTACCTCAGACACAACCAAACAAAGATAGCTCTGGTATTCACCCCAAATCTTTATGTTCAAAACTAATGTACACGTAGCAGAAACAAACTCCATCAATCCTACATGTATACTAAGGCTTATTAACACGGTCGGTGTAAACCAATGAACCAAAAACAGTGGTGTTGAATTGATGCCCTTTATAAATCTAGATTAAGCCTTACAGAAAAAATAAGGCAAAAGTTATTTTTATGGAAGCAAACCATGTACATACAGCAGGACTTAATGAAGGTATGCCATCACTTCATTAGGCTGACATTCAGGACAATGTAAGCATGATCAATTACTATGCATTATGTGTGGAAATCAAATCCCATTCATACAAGACTTGCAACACAAATACACAATACATGCACATGTCCGTCAAAAATAGAAGCAGGTCAATGCACGGGGAACTGGGTCATTCTTTAAATTTGGGGTCCAATTTTTTTTCCTGTCCGTTATGCCTGGCATGTGATTTTTAATGTTTAGAACTCATTATTTAATTGAAAGATTGAGTAAGTACTGAAAATCACCCGTCAAACAAATAATGGTTTGAAATCAATTTCAGTGATACATCCCTTATCAAACATATCAGATGCTATACATGTCAGAGGTAAGTGGGACGGAAAATGTCACAATTTGGACGCCCAACTTACAGAATAACCCAACTATATGTACATGTAAAGATCAGCATTGTAAAATTCATTTATCGAAACACTAACGATGTACATGGATGTCCAAAATGCAGAGGCTGCAATGCTGTTGATTGGCTGAATTAAATATGCGCATTTACATTACATGTACAGTATGACATCATATAATGAGGCCTGAAACATGGACTTTAACTGCTCTATTCAACAACCCTCCGATGTTTTAAAGCCGGCTGAATCCCACACCTGATGAGGTATGATTAGGATGAACTAATTCCATGTACGTGCATCTTAAAAGAGGTCCGCATTATTAATGACAAGGATTTGGATACAGCCTGGTGCTTGGAAGAGCAAGCCATCAGGTTTTGACAGCGTTGGATTTTGATAGATTCAGGAAGGGAACTGTTAAGCCTGATTTCCATATCCACGTTAGAAATGCAGAAAACAATGGCGTCAAGATGCAAACTGCAAGGCAGACATACCGGTACATGTATGGAAACATGTCAAATGGAACTATCGCCGATAATGCAAGCCAGCCCCGAACGGATTGGCAAAGTTGAGACTGGTTCAATTTTACTGATTGTCTGCACCGAGTAGCTGAGTAGGCCTATACAAACACACGCTGGCATGACAGGTGTACGATGTTTCTCTCACTTTCACTCATTTTCTCCTTGCTACTAGTATATGAAGCCTCAGTCGTCAACAAAATACCTGACCATTAACAAATTAAATCAAACTGGAGTATCAGTTTGGCCTCAAGAGGAAACAATGCCACCTAAAAATGGCATTTTGGGAGAACATTTTCTGAGTTTGGGCGCTATTTTGTTTAATTTTTGGGTGGAATGACATCGTGCCACATTTCTTCCACAACTGTCTGCATCTTGATGCCTTGCGGACTGTCTGCATTACAAACGACCATATAGAAACCAGGCTTCACATGTACATGTGCCTACAATATACATGTACAGTAAGAGCATGCAGACAGGCTAAAGGAGCCAAGATTATTGATGATGAAGCATACAAGACTCAGACTGGATCAACTCTAAGACTGGGGATAGAAAGTCAAGAAACAATCACTGACCGGCAAGACTCAACCAAAGTGACGACAGACCAAACGGAACTACACAGACATAATGACAACAGGGTTCCATTCAGTCTAAAATCCATGCTGGTCAAGGAGGGACAAGGAAATCAAAAAAAATCACACTGGGATTTCCCTTGGCCTTGATTAGGTTACAGAAATATTTACACATGCACCAGACAGGGAGGATGCTACTCTTATGCATGTGATCTACATCGGACATTCTATCTGCTTGGATCATGTGACTTATTCAGTGACACTCCTTCGAGAAACTAAAAAAATAAGTGTACATGTCATGGTTCAGTTTTATTGTTTTCTCTGTTTCTTGGAAATAGTTTGAATGTCGTTGCTTTAAGTAAAAGACCGAGACACAAATGGCACTTATCTCTCGGAAGTGAATGAATCACAAACACACACACATGTACACATGTATTTACTTTAGACTTCAAATTGAGAGACAACCATTCACAGGAAGGCTGAACAAAATGTGGATCACAGCAAAATGGCAATGGATACAACAGTCACCACAGAGCAAATAGGCACAAGTACATGCATGGACATGCAGTGGGCAGATATTGAATAAATACATTCATGGTTGATGGTGAACTAGACACAAAGTCACTGGACAAAATAGCCTGACCACATGCTGATTTACCATGAATCTTAGTCGGTGCTACAAACGTGTCCCAAATGGGTGAGCAACGTGTAATAAGAAGGAAAATAAGCATGAATCCCATCTCAAGTCTATAAACCAATTCTACATGTACAGCAAACCGGTGGAATGTTCCACTCTCCATAAACATCTCTACATGTACATAGGCAGGACTAGGTGTAAATTACAAACTCAACATTTTCACTCCACTAAAAAAGAAAGATGACATATTTGATTACAGAAAGTTTGTTCTAAATGACAAGAGCAAACGACAACAAATGAAGTTCCAACTTCTAAATTTAGAAAAACTGAGGCGTTCATGTAGTATGGTATGTGGGTCTGCCTAATGCTTAAATAGCAACTGATCTTCTTGGCTTCACATTATATTCATGACTACAACACAGACACACCCTAGGAAATAGGTCAGAGGTCAGAGTTCCTAGTGGCAACTTACGCTTTTCTTTTCTTCTTTTTGTTGCTCATATTCCTTGTCCATCTGCTCCTCGGCCTGAAAATGGATACAAAACTTTGTTCATTCAAAAGATGTTTCTTCACAAAGAAATGGATTTGGAGGACAATTTGCTTCAACTTAAGTGTGATTGGTGGGAAGTTTGCCGAGATAATTACCTCTTTTTGCATTTTCTCAAGCTCCCGCATTCGAATGGATCGAGCTTCAGCCCTCGCTTGACGCTTTTTGGCCAGTCGAGCTTCCGCCTTGAAGAAGGGAAAAAAAAATTGAGATAGGAAAAAATGTGGGTCGAATACAATAAGCCTTGAATTAGAGAGTACTCAATAATGATTGGGATGAACAGTTTCACCGTCAAACATGTAGACATGAAGATTTACAAGTGACTGAGGTCAAGATTGCAATGTACCCAATGAAACATCAATTAAAAAGAGGAACTTAAAAAAAAAAAAGAAGATGGCCTCCACACATTGAATGAACCATGTACTGTTCGTGTACAATGAATAAAACAATTCATACATGTATTTGAACATTTGTAAAGCCATGACTTCCTTTTTTACCATGTACCATCCATAACCACAGACTGATATTAAATTCTGAACCACAATTCATTTTCCATTGCTCTGTAATCAAGGACGGCAAGGTGTCAATTTATGCTGGATCCTCTCCCCCTGGTTGGCATTTCTTGACACCTTGCTGCAGTAGGATGCAGAGACTGTATGGCATCTGCTCATCCAAGAAGACACTCATAAATACTACATGTAGGCCCCCCCTACATAATTGGATTGCTGGACAAGATGTATAAAAGGACATGAATATTGCAAATGTTAGCCTACTGTTACATCCTCATGACTCATTCCTTCTCGCATGTATGAGATATGGAAAGTTAACAAACTCTAACTCAGAGGATTATAAAATTTCATCCAAAAATGCAAAGAGGCTTTCGTCAAAAGCGTACATGTGCAAATGATGTGAGGAGTTTTTCTCATGTACACATTGATGGCGTACACAAAAGTGCATTTCTTTCATTAAAATTGTCTACGGGTACATGTTTCAGGACAACTGAGGGTAGTGCATGCTTTGCCGTCTTGGGAGGACACCGTAAATTAAAATTTGCTACCTGAAAATGTTGAAAACAAATACATGTACAACTGCTTATTTACATGTCAAAAACTTGATCGAATATAAGGAAATTTACAGCAAAATCTCACAAAATTCTGGGATTTTTTTTCCTGCTGGAATAGCTGAATACTTCATTTTCCTGGCAAGAACATCAATTGTTTTCTCATGAATATGAAGATACACATTAGCATAAAACAAACTGTCAAAATATGCTTTAAAATTGCACCAATGAAACTAACCTGTAAATCAGGTTAACCCTAACTGCCCAAAACCTGCCATACTCCAACAGCAGTGAGGTTCAGTATGCTTCCTAGTGCAAGAGCCTAGGGGGTTAGGGTTAAATAGGACAGAAGAGGGCCAAAAAAGAGGGGAACTGGTCTTTTACATGAGGAAATTTTCTTGAAAAATATAGGTTTTTCTTAACATACTGCCAGCAGGGACTTTTGAATGTGGAAACCAGTGAAATCAGTGCTTACCTCTTGTGTGATATCTGACAGTGCCTGGTCCTCTGCCTTATAGGCTCTGTTGGTGGTCCGTTTGCGACCACTTCCCAAAGGGCTGACTCCCGGACTGAGCTGACCTGGGCTACTGCCCCCATTGGTTGTTGCTGCACACATGATAGCAGTATCACTGGTACACTGGAAGCTGGGCACCGGTCGTGATTGTTTTTTTATTCTGAATTAGCGTACGTTAACATGTACTGGATTATTCCAACACAACTGAAGTACAGCACAGATGGACCTCACTGTAAAATTTTGTGAGATGTAAATGAAGTCTCCTTAGTTCCTCGGATTTCTATGATGGCTCCATGCCTGAAACAGAAATAAGTAACAGTCAACCGTCCCACGGAGGTTACACATTGCTGGCATCTCAGTGGTGTCTCAGAGGCTGTTGTTGTTATTTAAATAAAACATGTGGCGCGATCCTATCAGTAGATGTGCCATCATGGCCATGTCTTATACTGCCCCATGACCAACAAGATTTTTCTCGATTCCTCTTCCAGATTGGTCAGTTAGTGGCTATTCCATATTTTACACTCTACTTAAAGGAGCAAAAATGGCGCTGTGGTCTAAGCAGAAAATCTCAATGATTGACTACACTCTTAACCTTAACATCAAATATGCCCTAAGTTTCACTGAAAATCTGAATATCTCTTACCCAGAACTGTCGGGTCCAAGGTCTGCCCCACTCCCATGAACCACACAGAAAACAAGCTTTTTTTGCCCTTGGCTCTACATGATGTTTAACAGGGCATGAACAGGTACTTTGTAATTAAGTACCTATAGAGATGTGAGCACGCTGTTGAACTGTAAACGATGGCCATGTCCCAAACGGCTTCCAGAGCTATGGCTACGTCTATTGTCTGCTCGTCTCCGCCCATTTCTAATGGAGTGAAGACCTAAACTTTGCTCTACACAACAGATTCGGATGCAGCTGATGTCTTTGAAACAAGTGCGCATGGCTCACTGCTATTGCGATGGGCGCTCACGTGTGATCGGACTCAACGGTTGTTGCTTGTCATTCTTGCCATATTAGCATAAATAATAAGGAACCATGTGATTGGTCAGTGTGACCCCCAGCGCACCTCAGCCAACTGCCATTTCAACCCTTCATTCCAGTCACAGCTAAGAATTACACACACAAGTATGGAAAGCGGCTGCAGCCAATTTCCATGTCTTGTGTATCGATTGCAGCCATAGTCAACCATTTGGTCGCTGCTCGTCTTCGCAAGTTCACGTGAACTGCATGACTCTCAGAAATATTTGCACCTTTTTTGGAAAACGGCCTGGTTTTGGCCCATTTTTTTCTTGGTACTCAGAACAAAGTGATGTAAGCTACTGTACCATACATAGAAATCTTGGGGGAAATGGAGCAACATTTCTATGGGTACACAACTAGAATACAATCCCTGTTCATGCACTGTTAAACGTCATGTAGAGCTTATGGCGAAAAAGGCTTGTTTTCTGTGGGGTTCATGGGAGTGGAGCGGACGTCGGACCCCACAGTTCTGGGGGTAGGCTAAATGTCTTCCACACAATACTGAAAAGGTTTCAATTGTTTTTATCCTAATTCAATGAAAAATGAGGAAAACAAGCAAATCCCTGTCATGCCTGTACAGAGTGAATGGAGGGCTGCCCCTTTTTTGCCTGGCTGCAAAGTGCAATAAATGGAATAACCTCTGACCTGGTCAATCTGGACTAGAAAAAAAGGGTCATCGCCCCATCAGTAACATAAGTCATTTCAGCTCAATTGCAGAATGCCCCGCCACCCCACATGATAAACCTCATACTATAGCCAGGTACAGGTCAAAGTGTCACACTCTTTTCAAGGGATTTTCACCTTGTACCCACGTAACCAGTTATTCCAGGGGTCGTTTCCACGTAACCAGTTATTCCAGGGGTCGTTTTTTAGAGTGGCGGGGTATTCTGCAATTACTCCGTAATTTCGACTTCAAACACCCAAATGGAAACGGTCTAGTTACTGCCCTCTCAATCGGATTTCCATTTTCAAGCAAACACATGCGTTTATGAACTGCCATTTCTGTACCGGCAACCAGACCAACTTCACAAGCATCGGATCAAGTTTTACAGCAAAATAACATTCTTTTCCTGTCCAACTGTAAAACTTCACCGTTCAACTTTACCATACTTGAGTCCAGGTGGCACAGTCTATCAGAAGTTACAAAATGAACTAAGACGGAGCAAGCGTTTGTCCTCTGTCGAGAAAATTCGATAGCATTCCTCCGCCGTTTCTAGCCTTCGGTGTCAAATTCTTCCTGTTTTGCTCAATGAGTTCATCTACGCTGGTTCCCTTTCAACGAAGTATAAACACGTACTGCCGGGAACCACTGAAAGAAGACAAAAGCAATTCCCCGGATGTGTCACAGTTGGTGTTAATACATGTAGTTCGTGTTCACACGTCGAGAATATTGAGGGCGGCCTGTGCTTTTTGTGGGCGTAACCTACTTCTCGTAAAATATCTTTTCATGCATCGAGAATTTCCTGATTCAGAAAAAGAAAACATTGTTATCACCACCCATTTTCCTCGGGCGCAACATATTGACGAATTCAGCCGTTCCCGCCATTAATAATACATTCTTCAATTGTGTTTGCAAGGTCGTCTTGTCACATCATGGACTGCCCATTAATTTTAATAACATTTCCTGCGACTGATAATTTGTTCTCAATACTCAACATGTCTTTCAACGCGTACACCTCCCCATTGTCACTCCCTCTTTCGGGTTACTTCAATAAAAGTCTTGAGGACTTTAATTGTATCAATAACAAATCAGAAACAATAATAGTGAAGTTTATTAGCGCAAATCAAGTCAAGATAGGGGATTTTTTCCTTTTTAAGACTAAGTAGATGGATACCAATGATCAATGAATATTAATGAGAAAGTTTAACTCTTCCGCATCTTCTCAAGGTACAACCTTGAATCATAAACAGATACAATTCATGAAGTGAGAACCGATCTCGAGGGAATCGAATGTCCTTCCGTTTTTTTGTTTTTTTTTCAGTACAAAACTATGCGCCGTTTCGTTATCGGTAAGCCTACTGCCAGGACACTCATAATCCTGTGGTTTACTAAACCTAGGCCGTAGCGCTGAAGCGCCGACTCGTGACCTAACCCCAAGGTTAGAGTGCGGCTCACTGCAAGCCCGCAAATAGTGGAAGAAAGTTGAAGCCCGAACCTCAGCATGCACATGTACATGTGCTATTGTAACTCAGTGTGTGCATTGTCCCACCATTGCAATGCATTCAACAATACCACAGCTTGGCTGCAGTCTCTGACGTAATCAGGCGGCTATTGTTCCCTGATCCCTCCTCGTTGGCCCCCTCGTGCACCCCTAGTGGGTGACTGACCATTCACTGTTGCGTAGATAGACACACAAACTCGAAGCTTAAGCGCATTCTCAGCGGCTGTGTCATGGAGAGTGTATAGCGTTCGTGATGATTCAAGTATAACCATCATCATTTCCTGGTTCAACATCTCAGACTGAACCCGAAATACATCATTCGTCTTCAGCGCCCTTCTCATCGTGGCTTGAGGAAAATGATTCAAGAATTTCGAAAACGAACTTCACTTGGTGTAGAATATAGTTGGAAATCTCAACTGCCGGTGTGATATGTGTTAGCTGACTTGAAACTTCAAGAACTCTGCTGATGTCCTTTGGAATAATATAGCCTAGGCTCATCGTGTAGGGCCTACATCTATTATGTAAAGTCTGGCATCTGGGAGAGTGAGCTCAGCGAAAAATCGAATTCATTTTACTCTGTGACTAACCGGGACAAATATGCGTTGAGTCTGTACTGGAGCCTTTGCTCAGATTTATGCCCATACGTGAAGCTTTCTGTGGAGTTTGGAGAACCGACTCGGTCATCATCAGTCGCAGAGACTGAGCACCACGACACACTCATCCTTGTCACCAACAGATAGAGAACTTTGATATGTACCACACACCGCTTCACTACATGCAAACTTTTATGATTTAAAGGAATTTCACAAAGTTCTGTGACTAAACGCTCAAGTAGTAGAGCATTGCCTTTGGGCGCAAACACGTACAGCCTACGGAGCAAGGTCACTTTGTCCAGGCTGAAGGCCTATTGCTATTTTTTTCTCTGAAGCAACGACACAATAAACCCAGCAAATAATGGTACATATACAGGACATGTACGATTAGTGACCGTGGTTGCAGCCTTGGTCAGCAATATCGACGGACTGTGTTACCCAAAAATTGGTCATGCATAAATTTCAATCCACCAAAACAATCGTTGATGGTTAGCTGGTAATGACTCGAGACACCATACCTGTGTATTGAAAAGTTTCTCGTTACAATCGCTTTAGTGTGCAGTCCACATAGCGATTTGCGTTGTGGGAATAACAACAACACAGCCTGACCTTGTTTCGCCAAGTCAGACTGGGACAGTCGGTCGTGAATAACAAACTTTGATTTCAAATCTGAAAATCTTTTGAGATGGCGACTATGCTATGGCCACACTTACTTGTGATGGCTATGATGGCTGATTTATATTTCGATGGAACGACAGGTAAGATCTTGGTTGTGTCCACCAGTGAGTACATGTATATAGATATGAAGCTAGCTACATGTGTATGGACCTGCATCATACTGCGCTTAACTTATTTTCCAACTACGTGTAGGTCTAGGCCTACATGTATTTATAGATTCTGAGTTAAAATTTATGCCTCACGGTGTACTACACAGAAAGGCGGCTTTCCATTTGTGCGTCAACACTTGCGCCAAGCTTTGCGTATCTTTCAAAATCCCTGTCGGAGCGAGTTTGACGGCCAAAAGCAACACACACGTGTGCTTTGTTAATGGGGTCGAATTTGGTGTCTGTGAAAGTGAAGCGCACGAACGCATCGTGTACGCAACGCCGCCAAAAACGTACATATATGGAAAGGCGCCTTTAAGTAGCATTTAAGTACAGAGTAGTAGACCTAAATCATGAAGTTGTCTCCAACGTTGATGCTAATGAATAACTATCAAAAGACATGTTGAGAGAAAAAAAAATCGATTCCATTTCGATTTGAAATTGCAGCCAACACTATCGTCGAAACCAGAGGGACTTCCATCTGTACTTACCGGATCAATAACAGGCAGCTCAGTAATCCTAACTGCCTCCTTGACAACCAAGACTTTGCAGTTGCCCTGGCAGTAGATGCAGATGAAGAGTTGATCTTCTTCTCCGATATTGTCACCCGGAAGATATTTCAGTACAGACGTGATCAGCAGCCTGTGCAACTACTGTATGGTTTGGGTAGCGTTGAAGGTGAGGAACTATACCAGCAAATCTACAACAAGCAAAGTAAGCAAGTTAAACCGACTAACTGACCAACCAACCTTCCCATACCTTTTCCTAGGTATTGCTGTAGACTGGCGAGCAAAGAATCTTTACTGGACAGACTTCCTGTTAAGCTACGTTTGCGTGTCTCGATATGACGGCAGGGATCGATCAATCATCGTCAGTGAAGATGTCTTAAATCCTAGAGGCATTGTTGTCGATCCATTTGACGGGTATGCTTTTTAATTCAAATCCTCAGCTTAAACACGATTGCCCCTCTTACTATGGCGGCATATCATCAGGGTATATTTTCAAGTTTGAAATAGAGTTTCCCTGCTTGGTAATGAAAAATCGTTGTGAAAAAACAAGAAGTAAGAGTGCTTTATATGAACTCGACGCAGAAAAGCTTATCCTATTCACTTTTATATGGTGTGCACTGTGTCTGAAAGGCAGACTTGAACTTAGTCTAAATCATTACACATGGAAGAGGGAACTTACCTCGTCAGAATTAACAGTTTATATTTCCTGCCGTACATTTCGAAGAATTCGTAAATTTCTAGCCAATTATACAAACTAGACAGCACCATCACACTGGCAGTGTGACTGGAGTTTTGACCAGGTCTTGACATCGTCTTTGCAAGGTTCATTTTCTGGACTGATCTCCGTGGCGTGTCGGATCAAGAAGGGCGGATAGAGCGAAGCGACATGGATGGCTCGGGACGGTTCGCTATCGTAGACGAGAATCTCATCTCTCCTAGCGGACTCGTCATCGACTTCGAGGAGAAAAGGTAAAGGTACTTTAAGAGAGTTGAAATAACATCCTTTATAAAGGATAGAAAAGATAATTCTCACCGTGGGCTGATTGTGCTAGGGAATGCTCCCCTCTCCTGAAAAAGCGAGATCGCACGTATATGTAGACTCTAAACCCCCCGGGTCAGATTGGGTCATTCTGACCTGGAAATTTTTAGAGTGTATAATAGGCTCGGCGTCTGGTCTCAACTGCATGTACTTCATCAGAAAAGCCTCATCACTAATTAGGAAAGCTTGAGCGACGACTATAGTTAACTATAGGCCGACTTACACCGCTCTAACGATGAATGCTGTGGACGATCCAGTCGATCATATAGGACCAGGCCTAGGGGTCTGGTCGCACCGCTGGTTATCAATGGCTGATTTCATTCATCCTTTCGGAGGGAAGCATTCACATGAAAATAATTGTACGAGATTTCAATGACTATGTACGTTGCTAGAATTGAAGCCAATGGTGAAATGTAACGATGAGATTTTAAAAACTTGACCGACTCGTTAGATTGTAACTGAATTGCGCTTGCGCATTGTTAAAAGCAGAAGAAAGCATATCACTACTGGACGAGCTATAATTTGCGCCGGACTTGTCCAATACTGCGTGAAGGTCAGCTGCCTCAAGTGATTTTTTCTAACTGGTGATATGACACATGCATGGATAACCCATTGTGTGGATATTTCTGTAGGCTATACTTTGCTGATCGGGGAACCGACACAATCGAGTCAGTAACATATGACGGGCAAGACCGCAGAGTTCTCTATCAACGAAATGGCGCCGACTTCTTTGATATAACTATTTACGGAGTAAGTTTGTGTATGATTGCTGAAATCTTTCCTTTACGCGAAGGACGTTATGGTAAATCTTCCGTGAAGAAAACAGTTGAAAAAAATGAGTGATCGTTAAATGCAGGACTCTCGCCAAAGGTGTCAATAGCCTTTTTTGGTGTGATAAGTACTTGTTTATGAGAAACAAACTGTCTGAACACCCTACACAGATCTCAAAGAACAGTTTATGTTTATCCTCACGATTCCTTTGTTCTTTACGTTTTACTGTTATGATTTTTAAGGTGTAGTTTACGTTCTGTTTGGAAACAATCCCAGTGCCTAAAGAAATGTCCAAAGATCTCATCTTCCACTTTTGAAAGGGTGTCCTTTACGCTACGGTGTGGCAATCTACGGTGGTAAACGGGTCTGTGATGGCCATCAGCAAGCAGGGTAATGATGAGGGACAAGTCCTACAAACTTTCCAGCATCCAGACCAGGCCTTGGGGATCGCAACACTGGATGAGGATTATCAACCGGAGGAAATGGATGGATTAACAGGTGAGTAGGCAGAGAATACCTCTGCCAGCCTATCTTCCCCAGTAACTCTATCTGATGGTTTAACTTTTTGGAGTATAAGGAAACGTGTATTTTGTCTTACCTTCATAACTCCAGAGTTGTTTCAAAATGTAGTGAACCTAAGATTTCGATTGTGAATCAACAATGATGGTAGTGTGGTAATTTTGCCAGGTGATATGGTCATGTGTGGAACATTATAGGTCTGTGCATGCAATAGTTAATATGTAATAATATCTAACAAAGACGCATTTCGGTGACTTTGGTTATAACAGTTGGAGTTCATGTGCACCGTAATACGTTGTAATACCCCAGCAATACCGTTTCATAGTAACACATACTTGTATCAAACTAACCAATGGTGGACACAAATTTACTTCCATAGGCGCATGTGGCGACAACAATGGTCGATGTGATCATCTTTGCTTACCGACCGGCGCAGCCAGACGAGCCTGCGCATGTGCCACAGGTTACCAACTTGCCAATGACAGGAAATCATGTGAAACCTGTAAGTTTTGTGTTCTAAAAGACACTAAAAGACAGGAAGAATTTTATACCAGAGTACAGTAAGGGGTCATGCAAGAGAAAGAGAAGCCGTGGATTTCATCTTGGTAACAGCAGAGGCAGTGGATTCCATAATGTGGCATTTGTCTGGTCGCCTTTTGTAACAGTGGTCGTTTATGACAGCATGAACGTTGCAAAAGAAATACGGTAAACGAAATCAATGTTATGCACAAACGAAGACCGCTACCGGTTTGATATATAGCATTAATGACATTATTTCAAAACGTCATCTTCAATAAGTCTCGTCAGTGGTTTGGCGATGATTATGTGAAGAACTAGTGAATTAAAAGGTCCACATTAAAATTACGTTCAACGCATAACATCTAGGCCCGCTGATTTATATCTCAGTCGACAATCCTCGTTGTGAATCGTTGCATTTGCAAGAATGGCTTTTTATTCAATAAAGCTTTAATTCAATCCCTAGACCATACGACAGAACACTTCATCCTAGTTGCCGACTCCTCACTCAACACTATCTACCAAGTCGATGCAGCCACTACCAGTTACAACGTCTCAGCCTTACCCCTAGGCGAGCTAGATTTCCCCGTAGCTATTGCCTACGATCATGTGGACGGGATGGTGTACTGGACCGACCGGGCACTCTCAGCTATCGGCCGGGCTAAGCTGGACGGGTCCATGAAGGAGAGCGTGCTGTTTGGGAATATTATCGGTAGGTATGGTTTCTGCCAGGAAAAAAAATGTATTCCATGGCTGGCTTATAGGAACGCTGTGCTATGCGTTAAGGCCTTACTTGGATAGTTCAGCATCTGAAGCACGGACGTATATATAAAACAAAATCTGGACTTGCAACGCCTTTGTATGAAAAAGAAGCCAACCAGCGGCCATTTTACCGAGCCAGAATACAAAGGCGTGGGTTGGCTCCCTTCTATTGACATCAGGAAGAACAAAGGCGGGCATTGCCAGGAAAGCTTTGTATTCGGCTCGGTAAAATGGCTGCGAGTGGATTTAATGATCTCTATAAGCTGATTAACGACAAAAAACAGTTCTGAGAAATTTCATGTTAGGCACAGAGTACGCTTCAAAGCAACAGTGTAATTCTGTTTCTCTGCTTCTAGATCCGGCTGGTGTAGCTCTGGACACGAGGCGCCGCCTCGTGTACTGGACGGACGAGGAGAGGGATGAGATTGGAATGGCAGGCATGGACGGCATTCTCGGCAGCAGGGTTTTCATCGATCAAGACTTGGACGAACCCCGAGCTATCGCTGTGAATTTGTTGAATGGGTGAGTTTACTTCAAGGGGATAATAGGGTGGGGTTAGCCAAGTAGGGACGTGCCCATTCGCAAGGTGTGAACCCTAATCTCAGAAACAGAAGAAACGCAACTGGAACGTTTATCTATTAAACTTGGTGATAGACATTGGATCTTATGGTGGTTGGCCATTGCTCCTGTGAGCCATGAGTGGACATGTGGAAGAACAGGAGACAGTGACTGTAGATCATTCTCATACTTTGACGATAATGCTTGACACTTTCAATGTACTTCCAGTGACGTCTACTGGACAGACTGGGGCGTGGTGGCCAAAATCGAGCGGGTGTCAAGCGATGGTACCAACCGAAAAGTTCTGGTCCAGCAGGACCTGGGATGGCCTAACTGCCTGGCAATCGACAGCCAAGGTAAGTGTCCACTGCCATCGTCGTTGTCCTCGATAGATGAGCTCTGATTGCAATCAGAGTTTCGCACCCTGTATTGATCGAATGGTGGATTTAATAAGTTGCTCTAAAAACGTTTCTTTTCATCCCTACTCAGAGGAAGTGATGTACTGGTGCGATGCGTTACACGGACGCATCGAGATGTCAGACCTAGACGGTACTAATCGAATGTACCTGGTGACTTTCAGCGGACCGGCTCACCCGTTCTCCCTTGCCATCTATGGCGACTTCATCTACTGGACAGACTGGCTCAGACATCGACTCTCTCGGGCCGACAGGTGGACGGGGGGAGATGTGGAGGAAGTAGGCGAAGCCGAGTTCTTGCGGATGCAGGGACTGGCTGCCTTCGAGGTTGCCGAGATCTTTGCTGAAAGTGAGAACAAGCATTTGCTGGCGAGGTTAAACCAAATCTTTTGAGAAAAGTACAACGGTGTGCTATTTAACTGACCATTCCTATCGATTTTATGTGGCACACGATTTTACCTATATAACCGCGAGCAATTTTCTTGTTCTTTCGTCTTTATCAGCAACAACTGCGGTGTCAGAAGGCAAAGGCGACTTCACCAAGTTCACAACCTACTCTCTAACGACGGCCGCACCACCGATGAATGGCGCCCTCAATCTGCCCCTTGTAATTGGTGCCAGTGGGGGCGGGCTTGCCTTGATCTTGGTGGTCATCCTTGTCTGTTGCGTTGTAAAATGCGCACGGTCAAAAGGTGGCAGGTAATGGTATTGTCAGACATATATTGGTCCAAAAACTAAATCCACCAAACTTACCACTTTCTATTCGAAAAAAATGAAAGACAAACGTTATTATTTATTCATAATGTAAAATTGTTCACCAATAAATTATCTCCCATAAAGAGAAACAGTTACCTCAAATGTTACTCTTCTAGGCCTGTTATTCTCATAACCTGCACTTAGTTGTATCACACAATTTTTAGAGTTGATCTACATTTATTATTTTTTCAATATCTGTCTATGGACCTTTTGTGCAGGGGCTCTGATGACCACGTACCCATGTCGGTCCGCAGCACGTCCTTCGTCGGTTCGTACGACCCAAGCGGTCTCCCAGGGCTAGGCCAAATCAACAATAATCCCCCTGCCCTGCCTCCGGCCCGTAAGAAGAGTGACCCCATCTATGAGGACATCGATGAGTATCAGAAATCCAAAGGAGGCGAGGCCGCCTACCAGGCCTACCTCAACCCCTCCTTTGGAGGAGCGGAGGATGACGAGAAGAATACAAGGTACGTCAAGCGAATCACACCGGAGAACTCTGCTAAGTGTGCTCCTCAATCGACAGCGCCAGCACCACCAAAACAAACAGCGACAGCACTGCTGAAACAAACAGCGACAGCACCGCCGAAACAAACAGCGCCAGCACCGCTGAAACAAACAGCGACAGCACCGCTGAAACAAACAGCGACAGCACCGCTGAAACAAACAGCGACAGCACCACCGAAACAAACAGCGCCAACACCACTGAAACAAACCGCGACAGCACCGCCGAAGAATCCAGCAGAGCCACGGTCAAAGGTCAAGAAACCAGCGCCTAAACCGCCCGCTAAACACGCCGCCAAGAAAGCCTCGACACGACCAGACGAGACCTACCTGACACCAAATGTCCCGCCAGAACAGGATTATATGGCCTTAAGGTTACAAGCACCGTAGGTCTTGTCGTACGTATTTAAAGACACTGCCCGGTCTCACTAATGAAGGTAAATTTCTCAAGAACTTTTGAGCTTTTCTTGCTGTGCTTGACCAAGGAGAAGTCAACATTTAACGCTGGATTCTATCCCGGCTGTAAGTTTAAATTTCCAGGAAGTACCAAGCCGCCCAAATTTAAATCGAATTTCAGACTTCAAACATGTATTATATAATTGTGTCTTTTTGTTTACTCACGTGGTGGAACATAGTCCCCGTAAAACTTGTTTTAGTTTGTATCAGCGATGCAAGATTTTCCTTTCTTGTTGTATTCTTTCATCGGGAAGTTAACCACATTGCAAGACCGTTGTTTATGTAACACTAAATGTTTACACCTCACAGTTCCGTTTAAGTTTAAACGATTTTATGTTAGCGTAAACGTTATAGAATGTAATTTCAGCTTGTTGATACCAGATTGTTTGAAATGGCCTTATTTTAAAAAGTATCCTATTAGGCAGAGAAGCACGAGATTAATGTTATTTATCTTGGAGTAACCCACTTCTTTCGAACACTTTGGGTTTTTTTCTACAATGCTACAAAGGCACGTCGCAAGAGGGGGGGGGGGAACGAACATTAAACACACTGGAAGTTATTGTCTTAAGTTTACACTGCCGGTTTAACTTTACTATGAACTATCTGAATATATTTTATTTACAACAATGGCGATTTTAGTTCACGGTGATGATTTTATGTATTTACAAAGACTGACACGATCAACACATTTACATAATTAATTACATTTGTACATACGAACCTGGGCATAGGCATGCAATGTTCTTGACCATGTTCAGATAAACCACAACTACCTTGACGCTTTCAAAAGGTGTATTGCATGCCTCCAACCACGAAAGAGTTGGCTTCTTATTACATCTGGTAGCACACTACGCTGTTTGAAAGCCAAAACCTGATTGACTAGAGAAATCCCATTGTCAGTTCTAACAACGAGGCGATGTATATATAGTTATATTTCCCTTTTTTTAAGGATTTTCTTACATGATGATTTTAAGGTGTTTTGGATAAAAAAAGAGATGATGCCCAAAGGCCTTGTTTATTTTACAGATTTTTTTCTGGGTACTTAGCAACGGCCAAGCTGTACATGTACATATCTTTTCAACACCCCACTGACCACGCATTTTTCTTAAAAAAGGCAAAACTTTAAATGGAAAACACACATCTAAAATTATTCAGCATCACTGTTAGCAGTACATTAGACATGTTCTTGACAGCACCGTCACTGGAAATGGTAGGAACTTCCAACCACTTTGTGCAGTCCATGCCTCCAGACGGTCGGTCTGAATTTTGGCGGGTAAACGCAAACAGACAAACTGAACCACAAGAAATATGTTACATGTACCACACTGAACGACAGCTACAATACCGGTACTCGACATTTCCCCACAAAAACACACGACTGTTGCTTTGGAAAACAGCGACAAAACACAGTGCTATGTCTCTAATGTATACATGTACCGGTTCATTTTAACGACAACCCCAAATTACTAGAAAGTTTCGCTAAATATTGACACTGCAACTTATGTCCAGAGAAGATCCAGATCCAGTTAAGTGCACTATTGTGTTCTGTATTTAGTTTAAACAAGGTCAGCTGAAGAGTTATTGATTTTAAGTGACATCGAAGGAAATATCACTTTTAATTCTTCTCATAAATGGCAACTTATGACCTGAAGTGAAGTTAGACCTGAAGTATGGATAAAAGACGCATTATAAGTCTCATTAAACACAATGTTGCTGTCAAATTCCAGTGTAAAAGTTCCACAATTTACAAAGTTCGAAAACTTTTTTGACAGTTCCAAGGTGAATCAGAAATGCTATTTTCCCAGTACAAGGTGTGGAAAGATCCTTGTAAATTCAGTAAAATAATTCAGAATATTCTGAGTTAAGTAAATATGGGCCCCGACTGGGACCAAGAGAGGGCAAAATTTTCCTAGTAAGGGAGGCTCCTTTGGTGGGAATCCGTCACAGGTTCCACGAACGACTACACGTTAAAGTATTGTCGCTACCTACAAAATGTGTACTCCCGATCAACAGGATTCTTATCAACCGATGAGGGGGTGCTTCTGCTCGAGGCGGATAGGGTTAAATGTTTTTGTTAATCCTGCACGAGGTTATGGCCCTTATAAAAAGTCGAATCAAAGCCACGACATGATGGCCGTATAAGAGAAAAAATTCTTGCCCTAAAATCCTCGCTAGCCAAATGATGACAAAAGACATGACTGTGTACTGCAATATTCCAATACAAATTACTAGTAATTAGTGATAGACTAAACTCATCTCACCTGATCTCGGCCGGGAATTACCAAATACCGAGGTTGCCTGTTTTCCAGCTCAACAGCGGTGCTTTCACAATAACATCAGTATTAAACGTGAAACGAACTCCTCGTGTCTCGCGCAGCCATTTTGAAATTGACATGTACTGCCATCGCCTTTGTGAATTCAAACGCAACTCGCGTATTCAATCCTTGCCGGAAATACCGGGAGGAATTTAGTCAACAAAGAAGCATTTCCCGGAGCGTGAAACACTGTAAGAGGGCAAGAAACGATTCATTGACGACGGCATAATTCACATACCAACATATCGGTTCGTTTGTTTTGGTAGCTTGGAGCCATCACTTCCAGCATTCTGCGTTTTCGGGGTGGGGGTCGCTCCTCGATACATTAACAGTCGTTAAGTTGTGGTAATACCAAGGCGCCCGTTACTCGAATTCAAATTCATTAATTTGAATAAATACAAAACAATGACAAACCTGCATGACAGCAACCTGTCAATAGGGCCACTTTATGTTAGTTTTGATGGCCACTTTACACAGATTTACCTTTCAAAGACAATACAAGAAGACACCCCATTAGGGCGTATGCACTTGTTTGACTTACTAATTTAAAGGGCAGTACAAAGCACATTTGAATCAGTTGTCCCACTATACAATATACATAAAGGGTGACAGAGAACACTTAAACCTAAACAGCGACGTCGTATGTGACATCCTGTAACCCCATGTGATATTAGCATCACTGTAAGACTATTGACTTGACCTTTCCTTGAGTAGATTTCAAGTATTCCCAATTGAAGACATCGTATTCAATAAAACTTACGAATAATATGTTAATGTTGCCACAGAGACAATAAATATCTATACCTTCTTCGATCAATTATTTTAGTGTAAAAGACGCCAAAGTCTAGGGGCGGGGCGAACACCACAGAGAGGGTCTAATGAAAAGACGAATAGATACATCGGTGCATTATATACGTGAACGCCAATGTAGTTCTCTTGAAGCATGCTTTCCTTGTAGAAAGGTACCAATGTTGCAGCTCTAAAGTTACATTGATCAAAGTATTTATCCATGGGAAACACAACCAAGATGGTTTCCAGTTCAAAGTCAAAGTGTAAGTACATGCTATATTCGTTTAGGTTTTATTCGCGTTCTTTCACTCTTGGTGCTCGACATATTCGGCAACAGGCTCTTCGGCAGATGTATGCACGGGGCTGGCCTCCGATATGACAATGGATGCTGGAGGTTTGGGAACTTTTCCTCCTTCCTCAAGGAGAGGTTCAACCTCGTCTGCTTCTTTTTCTCTCTCAATCTGATCCCATTTGCCGACTGTCCCATTACTCTTCACCACTTGCATTTCAATTTTCTCTTCATTGTTGCTTTCCTTCGCGCTCGTGTCCCCGTTGGCAACGCCGCCCGTGTGTCTCTCTTGCGTGTTTCCCCTTCTCCAGGTTGTGTTGCCCTGGTGATGGCCTTGGTGACCCACGTAGTCTTCATGGCAGCTGTCCATCACCGTGTCGTTGTTGGCCATGCTGCGCATGGTGCTCACGCATGTCCGGTCGTCGTACTTGGAGTAAGACGAGGTCCGCGGCTTGGTCCGCTTGCGGGAAAGGAACGGTGGGAGAGCGATGTGGGCGAGACGCCGGCGCCACTTGCGCCGGAGAACGGAGCGCACCTGGTGAATTAGGAGGAGAATGTTTTTGGTTTGAGAATAATCACTCATCAGCCATGGGCTCAGTTCAAGCGGTGGTCGCACCTAAAGCATCAGAAGAAATAGGTTGTGTTGCTGAACCGCTGGTGCCATCTTCTCTTTAGCACAGTAATTACCTGCCGACGGGAGAAATATCACATCTACACTATTTTCGCTTCTACCAATGTTTACACCAAGCAGCTCATTGTGCGATTATCCATATGCATTTATCGCATGCACAAAAAGTTCAAGAAAGGATCTGACATCTGCAGCTCGCATTGCAAACATCCCTGCATTCACACGATTGGCGCGTATGTAACATAGGACCTTTCCTTGAAATGTTGCTAAGCAGAAACGGTATTTCTTAACAGAGGGATTTGCTTTTCATTGTTTCGCTTTCAACCTTGACCGGTAATTAAGCAACCTCATAGCAGTGGGTCTGGCGTAAACCAGCTCCAACTTGTTTACCAGTACATATTGCACAAGAATGAACAAGTAAAACATGGCCAGTGTTTCGAAACAACAAGGGTACGAAATTAGGGCCAACAAATCAAGGAACTGTATTGAGAAAAGGTGTGGCCACTCCCGTTCAAGAAACCGTCTCAAACCGCAGCCTCTTCATTCATTGCGCGCCAGATCTGCACCCTCGATACCAAAATTAATTTGACCCTACAATCAAACACAGTTGAGTGTTCCAGTACAATACGCCAGCCGTGTTTGCATAGATCTTATATACGTAGATTCCCAGCGTGCACTATACTGCCTTAACACGCAGATAGCATCCGCGAGGTCTCACCTCTGTGTTCAAGAAGACATAGATAACAGATACCGACAAGCCTTGCGTGCCGGCCAGAACGGTGCTGACGTAAACAAAGATGAGGTTCACTGCTGTGGGCAGATTCCCCGGAAATAAGGGAAGGACCAGAATGAGAACGTAGCCAACACCAAGCAAAATGACGAGGACAAAAGTCGCTCGTGCAGCCCGTCTGTGAAAGCAAAATCACAGGAGAAAATTATTATCCCATGTCATCTTATTTTCATGTGTTGCTATTTCTGCACCGAAGCTTAGGTTGCTTATGAAAGGTTCCTGTTTTAAGGCGGTTTCAAGCCGACCACAACTTGGGTCAACTCCTCCCTCTTTGTACTCAACCATTTGTAGTTTAATTTCTACGCAAGCTTCCTTCAACACACCGTTGTTGTTAATTATTACTTGACTTCCCAATCTCAATGTCTGAATGGGGAATTTTTAAAATAGAACCCAGAGAATTTTCATTCAAAGGAAACAAAAACCGAATACTGAGGTACAAAATGAACGCCAGACGGCATCAGATTTCATCGTAACGATGTGTGTCTGTCTAGTAGCTCCGTCCTAATTGGTGCTTACAAAGCTCGTTCTTCATGATCTATCGGCTGCGTGGCCGATATGAAATGAAAGTCTACACCAAACCACCGAGTAACAAAAACACGTCGAGGATAGAACTCCTCAGAATGAGGGACGGCAGTCGGCCATTAGTTTAGCATTCTCACACACTTCCCACAGACATCAACGCCTCTCTTAAAGAGCCTTGCACAAACACTCGTTGGAAGGACGTAAGGCGAGTGCAAACAACGACGAGTTTGTCCCTCACCGAATCGGTGGGGAGATGTTCTCGTGTAACAACTTGTCAACAAACCCGCTGTGTACCTGTATTGTTTGATGTCGCTCGTGCGGTTACCCTGCACGCGTAACTTGCTCATCAGCAGACGAACGATGTTGAGCAAAAAGAAGCAATTGATCTGAAATGTGAGACAGGAAAAGATGCAACGATGACAACCGGCGTGTTTAATGTACCAGAGTTTGATCTGATTGTATCGTGTGAGAATTGTACGTCGACAGAGAGAATCACGTACAAGATTGTATGTCGGATAAATTACGAAATAGGTCATTTAGACACGAGAAAACTAGTTTCCAGAGCAGCAGAGTAATTTATCGGGGTCCGTGATAACGGTCTGCCCATTTCAGATGGCACCATATTAAGACTATCGCCAGACAAGCAATGATGAGGGCAAATGTAGGAAAATTCAATGAACAGTGCATGGTCAATGGGAAAATTACTTTCTCGTCCATCTCAGCTCGTTAATCAACCTGATAAACTGGTGCATGGGTCCTGATAACTGTCTACAACGGACAAATAGGCTGCTGATAACTTGCTGCAGTAATGTGCCTTCCTATGCAATCTTGCAGACTCACTCTTCCCCCCCCCCAAATCGGAGTCACATGCCCACTACGATCATTCCACCAACGGCCTACGACTGACACCCATTTTCCCCAATTGAATTTACTCTTCATGTAGCCATGAAGCCATTCATCCTCTGCTTGAAGAGGGCCACTCGAAGTTCAATCAGCTCATCATAATAATGTAGAAATGTCAATCTAAACGAAACGAGTTCAAGTGACCCAATCGATTAGAGTGACCTATAACTCTACTGAGTGTTGGCGCAGAATCATATATTGATGGATTTGTCGCACGACTGACAAAGATTCAAGCGGATTTTCATTCTTGGTATGCTAAATGTTATGACTTACAACGTCGTGTACTTCATTATTGTACACATGACCTTTGGCGGATGAGAACTATATACATGTAGTGTCTTTGCCGACACAGAGTCGCCTTTTATAACGAGCAGCGCGGTGGGTTATGTGATAATCAACATAACATGCAAAGTTATAGTCATGTGGTCTTATCTACCAAAAAGAAAACGAGCGCAAACTGAACACACGACCTGCTGACAGCCTGTCACCCCTATGTCCCTGCTAAACATCATGTTACATTCAAAGCAAATGGACAGAACTTACATGATATTCAGCATCTGCCTTTTCAAGTTAAACATTATGTAAATCTGTTCAACGAACTGAAAAAGGCAGGTCGCCCCCACGCGTGTCGTCAGAAGAAAGAAACGAGAGAATCAGAGAATGGTGACCCCCGGGAAATTCGCGACAGCTGACAGAGAAATTCAAGTGACTCGACATGTAACATTAAAAGGGGAAAATGAGTCTCAAAATCAAGAATCAGACTGACATAAAATAAAAACCTTTCCTCGTTGGCTACCAATGGATACCAAGCAGCTCTTTGACGCACCGTGAAAGCATTGAAAGAAGCGTCAACCACGTTCCCAAAGCCGCCAACCAAATCGGTCGGGGAATTCGCTTGCGCGTCCAATTATAACCCTGCCTGGCCCGTGCATTACGAAGCAATCAATGTGTAACTCTAGCGCGGCCAGCAGCGCAAATGACACTGTAACAACGGGGAAAAAATAAATCTCACGGGGGAAAAAAAGATGGATAATCTTTTCCTTTCCGCTGTCGGATTGCCAACAATCACGGAGTTATCGGCGGTGCAATCAATCTGAAAGGCGATAGCCCAGGAGTCAGTAAGGCTACGACTGAGGAAATGGAAGACAAAATAATGAGAACCACGAGGACCGATTTAATCGGATAGGTAAACTTTAGCCACGGAAAGAACAGATTTCCAGGTTGGAGTCTTCAAGTTTTGACACAGGCCAAGCCTTTGATAAAGCTTTAGCTATTCCAATTTCGAATTCATCACAGACGTCCTTAAAACGCAGGTCAACACTGAAATCTGCTGCTAACTCTTCTTTGATGGTATGCCAAGTACCTATCAAACCTCTAGGTCTGAAACTCTCAAAAAATTCTACATCGTCATGATTTTTCAGGAAACTTTATGCTGAATATCCTATTGTAACCAACATTCGAGAAAGACGGCCATGCAAGGTCATCGCAAGCTAATTTCCTTTTGTTTGTGTCCATGCCAAAATGGCCGAAGTAACTTAGACAGATCTGGACCAATAATCTCCCCCTCCCCCCCAAAAAATAATAATTAGCTGCGGATCAAATGCAAAGTTGCGTAGTCTCTTACCACCAACACAAGAAGAATGGGGCCAATCAAGCAGACGTATTCATGCACCGCCGTAGTATGCACTGAATTGGTGAAGAAATCATTGCTAAAAAAGAAAACAAAAATACCAGGTCGTTACATTATAAATTGGTAAACAACGGTAAACAATTGGGTGCCCACTGAAGGTCTTTATATTCCTAGACGAATACGGCTGTTTCGCAATAGTGCGCCACCAGGGGTTTACAACGCGTTGGCTAATCACAATGCGCGAAATTTGTCGACCCAGTGCGCGTTTGAAATTTTGAGAGTTATGATTGGCCAACGTGTAGCAAATTCTTAGTGGCGCACTATTGTGAATCGGCCGTATTGAGTCCTGATAAAAACATTATTGGTTCCATTAATAAAGGAACATACTCGCCAGAATTAAATATAAGGTAAACGTCAGGATCGAGTACAGCCGAGATGATGGCCCACACTCCAATTAAGACCATCGGAATAGCTGTGAAAAAAGACAGAATGACATTAATTATTGACCGTATGCGTTTCTCAACTTAAATTTATGCATCATAGGCGTTTTAATGGCAAAAGACAAGGAGAAGAACCCCCAAATCTTGTCCATTTGGTGCACACGTACTTGACTTCTGTGCCCCAGGCTTTTGTTTTTGTTTTGGTTCACAAATCACCTTTATATTCCAAGGCAAAGCCTTCGATCGATCATGCGCAGACCCCAATTTTGGCAAACATACCCCAGCCTATGACGCAATACACCAAGAAGTTGATTCTGTCCGCGTCAATGCGAAGTGCGAAGACCACCAGCGTGTGAAGGTATAACCCCTCCACAAACATCCAAAAATAGTTGGTCTGTTCGAAGTAAAACAACAGGAACAAGACGATTCGCCTCAGGTGCTGTAAAAAACAAACAGAAGTTTGTCAAACGTCACTTCTCACTTCTAGAATCTCTCTCATTTGCTTGTGGCGCTTTCAATGAAACCCAAGAGGGCGCTCGCCCCTCCCTTCCGATGGAAGACCATGCTCGGTAAGGTAAGGTTTTCAAATTACTCGATATCTTAGATTTTACGATCAACTTGACGTGGAAAAGAAAAACAAAAAATACACACGAAAACATTCAAGAGGAAGATCACGTTCATTTACCTATTTAATTTTTCATTGCTAAAGGATTTCTACAAATAGGCCAAGGGACCTATTTACCTGGAAGTGTATAAGTTGAACTACTTTTATCTACTGGAGAATGAAATTCAAGCGCTGGAAAACGGAAGATTTAAAACAGTATCGTTCATCTCAGGCTAACACCACTTCAACTGATTATATCATCTGTCGTACAAGGAAAGACGCGAATAAACGTCATACCCTCTTAATAATTGACAAGAGGATCCGATTTCAAGCAGAACAAAATAAAGCTCAACCATGAGCAAATCAGCCAAAAAAATAAGCACTTCTTCGAGCAGCGATTTTCAAAATTTTCCTGAGATCAAAGTGGATTATCTTTCTTATTTCATCCTGATAACAAACCAATACCGTCAAATCGGCCACACTCAGACCAAAACGTTTCTGTTGGCCTTTTTGATGAACCCAAGGGAAATGTTTCCTCATAATACTCGCCAGAAAAAGACTCTTTTTACATCATAGCCACAAGCTGTCCAGAGCAAATAGGGCATCCGTGGAACCGGACGCAAAAATAACGTTATACACACACTCATCTGTAATCCGTTGGGGTCAGATAAGGGCCGATATCTCCCAGATAAGGAACATAAACTTACTGTAGGAGATGCAGGACCTATTATTCCGCTCTTACGATAGTAGAGAAAAGTCCATATTCAATAAACATATTCTGAAAACTGAATTAAACTTACCAAGAGTTCCGATTTCCAAATTGGGGGCTGGATGAAATATACGATGTACTTCAGCATAAATGAGGTAATCAGATGCAAATGAATCAGGTTCCTTGTACAGCGTAGGGTTCTGGAGGGTTAACACATACGGTGGTTAGATCAAACAAGTTAAGAACTCGACAAGCATGCGGAACGTAACATCTCCAAGAAGCTAGAGGAACCCATTTTCTCTCTGGAAGACCAGTAAAATACTTCTGTCACAAATTCAAATGACAACCATGTTAACTCCCAAGATTGCTGCGTTACTCTAATTTATGCAATCTTTTTTGGACCATTTAAAGCACGTAAGACAGTCCATGATGGGATATGCGGACGGAACAACTCTTAATGACAATTTTTTTTAACCTTTGCGTCTCCCTGGGCCGCCCAGATCGAGGACATGTTACCTATGTATTCTTGTCCAGATATCAACTTATCCAGTCAATCCAATCAATTCCCTTGATACAATACATACGATACTATAATATCAATTCAATCAACTGTACATATCTCATACATATAGAATACAACAGAATCTATCAAATCAATGTAATTTTCAGAAATCTTACTTATCCACCAACACAATCCTTTTATCTATCAGTGCAAGCACTCATTAATCTTTATTAATCTTTTTATTCGTTAATCTATCAGCCATCAGTGCCCCGACGCTTCAATCCACCGCTTAGTATCAATCCAACAATTCATCAACCCAATTAATCCAAACGATCCACCAATTAAGTCAGTCCATCAATCCAATCTAATCCAATCCAATCAGTTCATCAATCCACTGACAGTTCACTCTAATCAATCCATCAGCCAAATTAATCCATGAATCAATCCCAGCCACCCAATGTACAAAACACTTCAACTTACCTTGAGCTCATGAATATGACGAAAGCAACTGCGCACGCAGCAAACGAAAGTGCGTATTCCGCGACAAGTAATTCCCCTGTGATCTGAGGCGAAAGTGAAAATGAAAAATAAAATAAAGACATGTAAGTTTCTGTTCGGACTCTTAGGACTGCATCTCTCTGTTCAAAACACCTGCTTTATCTTTAAACACAAGGAACTTTTAAACAAATTAATCTACATCACTATTCTGCCTACCAATTAGTACATCATGATTTGGGCAAAAACGTCATTTTTCCTCATAAACCATATACCTATTTGGGAAATATGACTGACGAAAGAGTGGGCGATATCAGGGTTGGATTACATGCGTAATGGATGAAATAAATTTCTTTGGAGATGAATGAAATGACAGTAATTGTCAGGACATTCGAGATCACTTAAATATGAACTTTTAAGATTAGTTTTAGTTATAGAGCTTCTGTTATTTTAGAACTCTGCTTTTCGACGGCAACTGAAAGAGAAGAGGATATGAATCCGATGTACATGTATTAATCTTGCACTCTGGTAGTTCATGTGTGCCTGCATTTTTGGATGGTTATTATTCATTCTTGGGGGGTAGGGGAAACTCAATATTCTCTCAATGTTTTCTTTATGTCTTCTGTCTTGTATCTATATTTATTTTTAAACTGTTTTCTTTTTTCGCTTTTTGATCTTTTTACTGGATTTTAAATGTAAATTCTCAGCTACTTTTTCATAATGAGGAATCTTTATGATAGATGACTCTGATATATTTGTGTGTTTGTGGTAATGTTTCCATTACGATTTTGATGTTGTTATTTTTGTTATTTGTTTTTCTTTTTAATGAGGGACCAAAATGATCAGCTTCTGCTGGATGGTTACCCTCAATCAAGATGATTTAAATAAAAAAACCAAAAATCAAATTTCTCAAGCTTCACTTTCACATGAAATTATCTGACCTCTCGGTAAGATCCTCGCGGTAGAGGGAACTCCCAAATTCTGTTTTCGTTTTCATTTTGGTTGCTACTCTGTCGGATTAATGCCTATTTGGTTTGCACGGGCGTCTGCGTGAAAAAAACAAGCTGGCAATCACTGTTCATACATTTCGTCTGGATTACGGACGCCGTCTGCTGGGCCGGTTGACAGAAAGAGAACAGGCCAGACGCCATTCTCACTCAAGGCACGAGCAGGATCAAGGGAAGAGAGGAGGAAAGTGTCACTGACACACACGTGGACAGACATCAACATGATCACAGGGGTCGAAGCATACACGTTAGGACACCACCTCTTGAAGAGGACGTCAGGGTACCGTTAGCTTGGTCGATCTCGCCAGACGGTGGTATTGGCACACTGGGTCATTTTGCGCATGGGGCTAGGACAGTCTGCATGCGCTATCCAAATGGAGCTCCAATGGGAATTCTGAATCCAAGGCATCTTTATGTTGTGCATCAATACCTCCAACTAGTCAAGGGATGATTCCTATTCATTCCAATTGATTCCTTAAGGCAACGCAGGATAAAAAGATTGACCGACTGATACTGTCAATTCGAATCCCTTTAAGGAGTACCTAAACTCTGGAGGGCGCCCCGCTTACCTTACAATGAAAACATTGGCACATCCCATCAGGACCATAGACATCGTAAATGTTTTCCTCCTTCCACGTGGCGTTCACAAAGCATGTACTGTGAACTGTTGGATAAAAAATCGACAGAGTTAAGTTTGGTAGATGGTGAGATTCTTCAATTCAGAGTCACACGAAATGACCGCAGGCAGCAAAATTTGATGCGACAAAAATAGGTCAGAGTGAAGGAAAAAGAAAAAATTCCACGTTTACAGGAGTATTTATAGATTGCTCCCATTGTATTTACTTTGATGTGAATTCTGACATCAAGCGATGGGAGACTTTGAGACTCATGGAGGCGGCAAACATACCGGTCCTTTTTACTAGTTCTGAGCATGCACGCGTTGTTCTGGCAGGCGTGGCGGGCATAGTTATGAGCATGCGCAATACTGTAAGTAAGAACCAGTATATCTGCTGTCACCAGCGTCTGAAAGTCTCCCATTGCAAGGGTGACATTTTTGCCAACTGTGGTGACTTACAGTAACAGTACAGTAGGCAATATGAGAGCGGTCAATAAGCCAACAGTGTGGATTTTAGTTTACAGCAGTACACACCTGAAACAGTTTGATATTGATCAAACACGACAGGGCAGAGCATTTCCGCTGTGTCACCGGGGGCGGTCGGTGGCCAACACAGGAATCCGTCGAATCTTGCAGGGCAGTGGAAATCTGCGTACGAGAAGAATCTGAGTTAGCCTCCACCAAGGAATTGGAAAATGCCACTAAACGGAAAGGTTACAAGATAAACGCTGGAGGCCACAGCAAAGGAAATCTGATTGTTTGAAATGCAAATGGAATTCCACATAGACATTATATTATTAGGAAACCTAAAACTTCCCATTTCTCTGTGTGCATTAGACAGATGACGTCATCTGTGTGTCATAAGAAGCCGGTCCATACATCTTCGCTTCTCTAACAAGGTAAAGGTAAGCGCAGAACAACACATTTTTCCTTTTGCAAAACGGAATTTTCGTCCCGTGCCATATTGAGCATTTATACATGCTTCCACACACAAGTGAAACATCATACGATTTTGGAATATTTTGTAATATTCAATGTCTTGATGATCTATTCTCGTCCTACCAACTGTGCACTTTCATTAAACTGTCCAGATTTTGCTTCAATCAGCGTCCTGATTTCACCTTCTAACCCGTTACACTCTATCACTCACGCAACCCCCTCGGCTACAACACTACATCAAGCCCGTGATTAGGGTAATCACGGTGCGCCCAGCATCGACCTATAGACTGGTGACATGCAAGTCCAGAGCTACGGCTAGGTCCATTGTCTGCGTGTTTCCACGTACTTTCAATGGAGTGAAGACCTAGACCTAGCTCTAGACAACAGATTCAGGTGCAGTCATAGTCTAAATACTAGCAGTTTCCAACCCTCCTAGGAGTTGATATTTTCAGGCTTGCTTGTTCAATTCCACAACGATTGAATGTATACGAAAGTCGTTTGTTCCAACTGACAGAAAAGACAAACATAGAAGAAAAATGAAACACGATGAAAAGCTATGCACACCGATCACATTATAAACGTGCATGCTAGGACAATCAAACAGCAACTATGCATTTATATTGTGCGCATTGGTCTGGCCGCCAAGCTACAATGCATGCTTTCCGGTTTGCAGAGTGCAACACGATTGGAACGGTGCAGTGTGTTTACTTTGCGCAGTTCCAAACGTGACTTGCATACGAGAAACACTTTTCAGCCCCGAGGTACAAGGTTGAGTCCATAATAACACGGAGGTACAGAGAGGGTAACGATTGCTTATAGTGACGTTTACCGACGCCTTTACAAGAAACAACGCGCCGATTCATCACGATTTTTAATATACGTGCCAGACAATACGTTTGTCGGAGCTAAAACAGTATAGTTCGCGAAGATACAATGTTCAGCATGTGTGTCCACGAGAAAACGAGTATTTTGGTTACACGTTGAAACCGTGCCAAGGCTGATTCACCATTACGGCGAATTCGCATTCAAAATGGTCGACCAACTACAAATAGTTTTAGGCAAATACATCACTTCAACCTTAATGTTGCTTATTAATCAAGAGGAGGAATGATTAAATATCGAAGGTTTCAAATGTCATCGAAGTGTCCGTAATGGTGGGAAATTAAACTTTAAAGAGATTCGGGTTTCACACCAAATAGGATCTTAACATTGAATCTCCACGAAAGATTATCGATTGAACGCCTTATAACTCTCATGAAAACCTCCATTTCCACAACCCTAAACTGGAAAATGAAACGAACAGGTAGATCGTTGGATCTAGGTTGGACAGAAAGACAACCACGACAGGAATTCATACACAAACTGTTTTAACAAACAAGGAAATTTGGGTTTGTCTTCACAGAGTACAGAGCGACATTTCATCGCAGAGAGAGCTCGAGGAAACTGTTGAAAGACGACCCTCTACAGTTCTCTTAGAATCGCAACCATTCTTACAACTAGCAACCCATCCTTAAAAAGCATGGAGCATGAACACAACCTGCGATTTTGGGGGTTTCTTTAAACGGCCGAAGAGGTTTTTGAAGAAACAGCAAGCCTCTGAGCGCCCCTTCTCACTTTACAGCCACGGCAAAATGTCAACATCGTTATGGCCAGGGCTAATCGAGTTCCTCTCGATCGTAGCATCGCTCCCTGCCACCCGTACCTGCTGGACAATTACCGGTCGTGCATGAAAAGGGCGGCATCCTCTGCGATTCTGACTAGTGAGCGACGGAGAAGGGGAGATTCAGCTGGTCTGGGATGAAATGGGAGACTACAGTCAGCATGCAGTCAAACACTCTATGAGTCACCATGAGATGTCAAGGGCTTCCCAAAGGCACGTTTTCGGGATCGATTCTTGCCCAAATCGATACTGGATCGTCATTGCTTTCGATCGAACCATTATTTTCACGGCATGTTTAAGTAACACTTTTATGTCAATTCTAACATGGAGGATATCAGATGGATTTCTCAAATAATGTAACTCGATGCTAAATTAGAGGAAAAGCTATGAAAATACGCGTACGTACCTTGGAGTCTATACATGGGGTACTTTTTATAAGTTGGCATTTAGTCTTAACGACATATCTGCCGACATGCAACCTGCTAGTTTTGAAAGCACCGAGCCATTTCTCATCCCAAAACGATAACACAAGGAGTCTATTCCCAAGAGGCAACGGACAGTCATGCAGCAACAGCCGTGTTTGTTCCGAACTTGACCGTAGCGTTGGACACGTCCTTCCAACAAAGGGGTATTTTAAGTGGCCGTTTGGCCGGACATACCACTCTTAAATGACTATTTAAAGATCTTGTTTTTGCAAAGACTGATTTCCGCTTGGATAAACTGAAATGAAGATAGAGGTATGGATGAAGATCAGGTTTCCTGTTCCTGCAGCGGCATTTGTTGGGCATATCTAGCATTTCAACAGCCCTCAAGCACACCTCGAAAAAACGATCCGTTTTTACTGCGTCACAACTTACAACATAATAAGGGCCTTACTCACTTGCAGTTTGATATCAAGTTCAGTTACCAGGAAAGGAGGATCCTATCCAAGTACATCCACTTAAAATAATTAGAGGCAAAAAAAAAAAAAACAAGTGCCTCAAACCACAGTTTGGGACATGCAATTCAATTTTAGGTCTCCAATGTGCCGGATGTAGGTTACTTAGTCTTCTGTTCTGTCCAATTACATACGACGAGACAATAAGTCTTATGTCTAATGGCAAAAGGTACTTCTCAGGGCATCTAGTAGTGTGGTAAAGCGAGCAAAACCATATCACCGACAAGGCAAGAAGCAGGCAGGTGTAAAGTTTTCTTCAACCCTACACCTCCCCTAGGGCTACCAATGGTGCTCACTACCGTGGAATGATGGTGTAACTTTCACATCCATCAGTCCTAGAGTCGTTGCAACGCTGCAAGGGGTGCCATACATGATTAATAGGCAATACAGCATCATCAGCATCATACTAATGCGCTCAAAGTAACCTGCTGTGGTTTTCCCATTAAAAAAGAGCCCTCTGCGTCTGATTTCATCATCGACGCAGGTTGCAGGCGATATTTAATCCAAGGCCCTGCCGAAGCTCATTGAATCACTGCCCTTTCCGATACCTCTCATCAACTGCAAGCTTCGCCTGCTTTGCGGGTTCCCAGACGATTGCCTCAACAGCACAGGAGACATTTATTGCACTTGAGCGGGCACATTTGACATTAATTGCGATCTGTTCTGGCAAACCTTAAATTAATGACGATCAAATACTGAAACTTAAGATTTCAAAATGTTGAGCCTAGGGGATAGCACGTCTTTCATTAAAACACACGGGCAGATGGATGACAACAGTTGTAAATATGACACCCACTTGGATGGTGATTAAGATAAAATCATCAAGTGACAAGTAGAACAGGATTACGAGCCTAAAGACAGCAAGAACTCCACTTACCGCCGTTCTTATAAATCCTTTTATTTGGAAAATACAAATTAGCGAGACAGTACGTTATAAAACTTGCCATTAAGTATGGATTTATTTGGAACAATACTTCCATAAATAAATTCCATAAATCCAGTAAAACTGTTTCATTTTACAGCGTAATAGTTGTAGAGAATTTTTAAAATCAAAATCACGAATAAAGTCTTAGGTGTCCCCTCGAGATAAGTGAGTTACGGATATATCAAGTATATCCGTTATGAACGGAGTATGAAAGTATTACAGGAACAAGAAGCCATAGGGAGCAATTGTAACGGAGTGCGCGTTCGGACTCCTTGAGGCAAGAACTCCAGGAAGTCTTTGAGATTAAAAAAGCTAAACAAATATTTCGTGGCCACTGCAGAACCTGACTGGCGAAGGGATGCAATGAATCACCTTTCGCACAGACGAAGCCCTCTTCCAACTTCAAGTATATATAAAGACAGCCCCCCCCCTTGATTAAAGCTGTCCCTTCACTGCGCCTAACCACCTTAGTATATACATGTACGAGGAGGGTTAAGGGAAGAGCTTCCATCAACGCGCTGAATATATTAGGCGAAGTTGGAGCTAAGGAGGCGTGTTGACAGCAAGGGCCTCCGATATTGAAATTTTCCGCTACCGAGGATGCGAGGGGATTCCGTAATTGCGTCAGAGCTTCGGCAACTCGTGAGTCCAATTAATCAATCCCGAAAAGAACTTCGGTCGACGCGTGGCTGACGCGCGGTTAAAGCGTGGATAACGCGGGGGTTCCATTTGCCATACAGGTCCCCCAGAGAGTTCAATGACATGTGGATACTCTCGCAAATCCACATCTAAAAAGTAAGGTCCCCTATAGAATAAGCGGTGTCAATATGGAAATGTATATTTAGGTATCTTGAGCAGACACAGGTATATAAAAGCATGCATTGAATAGAATATCAATTCTGTACAGGAGAATTTGAGTTATGTAGACGGAATCTAACCAACTTTAGATAGTGGTAGATTCAACAGCTTCGGAACAGGCAATTTAACATCTTTCATACCTGACACAAACCTAGCTTCCCCAAATCGATGTCAAAAGCTTCTCTCAAAATTATCTTGCACTGCAAGGGTGTTAGTTGGATACAATATGACAAACGAGGGCGCGCTGTTCAGTTCCACCAAAGATGTCAAACACACGGTGTGAAGTCCTTGAAGTATGAGACACAAAGTGTCCTGTCCTTTGGGATCAT